GGTGATGTGGTTGGGGTTGGTGGTGGTTGTGGTGTTGCTGGTGTTGTTGGTGCTGGTGGTGTTGGTGTTGTTGGTGGTGGTAGTGTTTCTGGTGTTGTTAGTGTTGTTAGTGTTGTTGGTGTGGTTGGGTTTGTTGGTGGTGTTGGTGTTGTTGGTCGTGTTGTTGGTGTTGGTATTGTTCGTGTTCGTGTTGTTGTTGTTGTTGTTGTTGTTGCTGTTGTTGTTGTTGCTGCTGCTGCTGTTGATGGTGTTGTTGTTGTTGTTGTTGTTGTTGTTGTTGTTGTTGTTGTTGTTGTTGTTGTTGTTGTTGTTGGTGTTGTTGTTGGTGTTGGTGTTGGTGTTGTTGTTGTTGTTGTTGTTGTTGTTGTTGTTGTTGTTGTTGTTGTTGTTGTTGTTGTTGTTGTTGTTGTTGTTGGTGTTGTTGTTGTTGTTGTTGTTGACTAGACTAGACATATCCCATCAAGAGATCGTATTTCCTGGCGGGCTGCCCATTTCTGTTGTCAGGGGCCGGCGCGGACCCACATGTATATGATATGTATGTATGTATGTATATATATATAATGTATATATACATATATATATAATATATATATGTATGTATGTATGCATATTTATATTAGTATTATAGTATTGATTTATTTTTGCGTTACGAGGGCTTTTAAATGCAAGAACTTCTGCTTTGTACAGGATCCAAGTAGAGAATCAAAGTGCTGCCAAACATTTTTGCAATACCACAGACCGAAACCATGATACATTCCCTTGATTCGTAAACGAAGGTTTGGCATGAACAAACTTGTGTTTTCCTCAACGCCTCAACAGTCGCAGTAAGGGATATGCAATTGCGTTACGAGATCAGTCAGCACTTTTTGACTGGGTTGTCTTGAAACCAACATACTTGCAACAAACACTGGGCACTCTTGCAAAAAACAAAATACACACACAACGAACATGGTTTTTCCTTGCGTGTTTTATTCCGAGCCATGCAAACTTCAAACCAACATGATTGAATATGCCCAGGATGTGCTTGCTCAGCCTGAGTTTCACAGAGGTCCCTTCTTAATCAGTTTCGCAATCGAACAGGTGTAATTGCTTTCAGTTCTGATGGCAAGATGCTGCGGGCTGCCGCGATCTCAATTCAGTGAAGTCACCCACATGACAAACTGGCGCCGAACTGATGGCACGTTTGGGATCAATGTCTCTACGTACTTTCCATGAAACATTGTGCTCGTTGGGGCAACAGTTCCAATCATCTCTTCACCACTCCCGTAAAATGGATTTCAAAGTTCCTTTGTCGGTGGGATGCAAGTCCTGCTAGGGGCCAAATGGAACTGCAAAGGAGTACAATGTGCAGGACAGATCCAGCGAGTGAGAGAAATTGAGGTCGTTGGGTGTTGTCTCAAAATGGGATACCCCTAAAACCAACGATTATATCTAAGTATATAATCTGTATCTATATATCTATATCTATGTATATCACTGTGTATATATAGATGTACATATGTATATCTATATATCTATATATCTAGTACTATCTACTGTATATCTATGTCTACGTATATCTATGTATATCATATATCATTGTATATCTATCCCTCATTTTGAGATGGCTTTGCTCCAGGACTTGCTCGGCCAGAGTCTCGGCACTTGGCACGGTCCCTCAGCATCTTTTAGCATCAACGTGTGAAACATGGGGCTGCGGGGTTGGGACAAGTTGGGACAAGGCTCGAAAACCTCGAGTCCTTTCCTGGGCCATTTGGACGAGTGGATGGAAGCACAACAGAGGTGCGTACGCTGCGTACGCTGCGAAGATATGTGAAGATGTGTACCGTGGAAGTTGAACGGTGAGCGCACCCGTTGTATTCCGAAGCCACAGGCTCTCCTCAATTACCTCGAGAAGATGGCTTCCAGATTTGATGATGCCGATGTGCAGTGCCCAAGAATCAATAGTTTTTGTGACATTGCCCTGCACCTCAAAGAACTGGCCAAACTTCCAACTTTTTCCTCATTTTTCCACAAAAGGCGAAAACACTTCCTGTTGCTTTCAAAGTTGGAAGATTCGGAGCAGTTGCAGGTACTGCACCTTGGAATCGGCCACCAAATTTCCTGAATCAGCAGCCGCTTGGTGCTAGCAAGTCATCAATTTGTGGTTCAGATGCATGGAGCTTCCACGTCCCAGGCTATTGCGTGCCGTTTTTTATGCTGCCTGGTGCGGGCCAATGGTCCCTTCCCGAGCAAACTTGACTTTTCAAAGGCATCAGGTGCATAGATGAGCCGAGGCAATGTGCAGTCCGGCGAATTTTGGCACCACTTCTTTCCAGTAAGGAGCCCAGAGCTTCGAAGCACATCATAATAGCAGGACAGGATAGGCAGATTCCATCAAATGCATTCAAATGCCAAGTATTGGCATGATCAATGATCCGAGCTTGTGATCACTTGCCACATTCCATCAGGTTCTTGCGAAAGCAATAAAGAGCGTGGGAGGTGACAGCAGCAGCATTGGCAAGTTCTGCGTCGGAAGCTCAGCAGCTGATGTGCCAGCGAATCCAACCACTGGTGCTTCCGAGGCAAAATTATGCAAAGGAGAGGTCGGCGGTGCACTGGAGGAAGCATGGCTGCTTGGGACAAAGTGTTTTTTCCTGCAGAGCGGCAGTTCTAAGGTCAATCTTGGCCTTTGAGCAGGTTGGAAACGCCCCATTAAAGCAATTCAACAGATAGTTTGTCATACTGAGTATCCATCAGGTGTAAGTAAAAGTCTTAGCCAGGACGCGAACAGAGATAGTGAAAGCTAGACAGATATTGCAAGTTGAAATATTCGCAGGATGCCTGCAGTGAGAGCCTGTGGTCGCATGCACTGGCAGTGTTGGGCGCACAGTCTTTGCAAATCGGTCTTGTTGGTCAGAATGCGCCACAACCGTCGCAGGAAATTATAAAATAGAAAGCCATCATTCAGATGAGATGCAAATTATTAAATAGCTTCGCATTCAACTTGGGAAGGTCTCGGCTTCTTGCCCCGCAATCCTCAGCAGATGCCTCAGTCTTTGTCACAGAAAGACGTCAGCAAAAAGCGCAAGTCCAAAGTGTAGGACATGATTCTCCTGAAGTTTGTGGATGCCGCAAAGTCTGGGAAGCAGAAGGAGGCCTGGAGATCTTCAGAGGTATCGCTCCTCACCCAAATTTCTTGGCACTGCCTTTTTTTTTGGGTGCTACTTCTTCTTTCCAGACACAAGACCCATGTTCTCTGCATGCATTTGGATTGCAAGTAATGAGACTTCCTGTTCACCCAGCTTGACATTCAAACTGGTGTTTTGCGAAGGCTTCACCAGGCAATTTTCTGTGTGCCCTGTTGGAAGCAGAGTGTTCAGCCCAACTTGGTATGCGTCAAGTTTGGCTGCCCCCGACAATACATTGTTAAACTAAGATAAACTTAGTACGATATAGACAATGGCCAGGATGGACCAGCTCATCTGTGTTGTTTTCATGTATATAGGTCTTCAATGTTCTATGTAACCAATCCCGAATCTTCAGAACTTGCAGGCAGCTTCAAACGATGAGGACTTGGAGGCTAGGCTTACCATAGATTTCTTTCATCAGTTTTTGAGAGTTGATGGCAGCTGAGGACCCCGCAGTCCAGGCGCTGTTCCTGATGTACGAATGTTTGGCCAAAGGAGCTGCAGCTCCCTTTGATCTTGGGCTCATGCTGCGCTGATAGTTTGGTTGATCAGATGATCAGGATCTGTGCCGGAGATTTCAGAGAAAGTACTTTCAGGCAAGATGCAAGGAGCCGTTGTGACTCCTGGCCTAGAATATCCTGGAAGCAAACTGTGCCTCACAGTTCTTGAAGTGTGCCTGAACTGGTCAGGTTGGCCTGCCTTTGCAGCCATGTTCTCGTTGTTGTCGGACTCCTAGTGCAAAGGCAAACCTGGAAGTTTCCAATGAGTGGTTTCATGGCAAATTGCGAACAAACTCCATGAAACTTCTGGATTTAGCTGTTAACACCTGGTTTCCGGTAGATTTTCCCGTAACCCCCGATTTCATCTGCAACCTGCAACCACCCGTTGTTTGGCAAGGCTAAGACCTGGGGAGTATCGTGAAGTAGCATTGTCCTTCATCGAGTCCTTGGCGGCAAGGTGCCAGTGGTCTTGGACTTTGAGTATTGGTCTAGTCCCACCTGAATCGCACATCACGAAAGGTAGCGTGCAATCATAGGGGGTATTGGGGGGCCATTGGGGGGCCAGCCCGTGCAAAACGTAGAATTCTCGACGTTATGTATTAGATGTCAATTATAAGGGGGTGGGGGGAAAAATGTATAAAACAACAGTTCATAGAAGTTTTTTTAATTTCAATTATAACAGTCTAAGCACACATTTTCAATATTGTTGATTGCTTCATTTTTTCAACAATATCAAAACTATAATGACATCATAACAGTCAAAGTATAGTTACCTCATCCATTTTTCAAAATCACAACAGTTCAAAGAATAATACCATAAAACCATAACAGCATAGTAACAAAAACAAAAAACAAAAACAAACAACAACAAAATCATCACTACCTACCCATCAATCACCTCATTCATTTTTCACAAAATCATCACTACCACCTATATCATCATCTCATTCATTTTCATAAATCATAACTACTAACCATCTATTACCTCATCCATTTTATAAAAATAGCAACAGTCAATACATCATCACCTCATCCATTCCATACCCAAAACGACACAACAAACAACAAACAAAAAAACAAACCAAACAACATAAAAAACTAAACAAAGGACAACAATAAAGATAAACCCTTAACCTTTAATATTCCTACCTTAATCATCCATAATTCTAATAAATAGATATTAATAGAAATATGTTAGTAGTAAATGTCTTCAATAATTACTAATTTAAAATGAAATGCCTGTATTCCTATTATACTATCTTTATCTTGGTCTTCTATGTCGGTGTTTATTTCTTCAACTGCTTTCTCTAAAATTTCATCTACATTATCTTCATCTACATATTCATCAAAGTCATTCATAAAATAAACCTCTCTATAACTAAATTCAGTTTCTCCATATTCCTTTTCTGGGAGTTTTGCCACTAATTGGACTTCAATATCAAGTTTAACTCTATAATTTAAACCATCTTCTACTTCTTCATAAATTGAAGATAATAATTCTTCTTTTTCTTCTGTTATTATGTCTTCTGAACTTTTTAAACTAAATGGCACTCCCTCTCTCATAATACAGTATTCAATTATATATATATATATATTTTTTTTCTTGATTTCAAATGTTTTGCTATTTTAGGACCAAGTCTTGAAATCTTATATTTGTTTTGGGAGGGCTATTTTTTTTGGGAATTTTTTCCCGTTTTTTTTTGGGAATTTTTTCCCGTTTTCTGGTGGAAGGAAGGTGCGAGGAAGGAAGGAAGGAAGGAAGGAAGGAAGGAAGGAAGGAAGGAAGGAAGGATAAAAAAACAAATAGGGATCAAAAAAACAAATAAGGATCAAAAAAAAACAAATAGGGATCAAAAAAACAAATTTGAAAACTAAAGGAGGAGAAGGAAGGAAGGAAGGAAGGAAGGAAGGAAGGAAAAGAAAGAAAGAAAGAAAGAAAGAAAGAAAGAAAGAAAGAAAGAAAGAAGTAACCTTCTCTTGAAAAATGAAAGGAAAGCTTCCTTCTCTTGACCCCCCCCCACCCGCTTTTATTTTTTAGCCGGCTCCCCTTGCTACCTACTATTCTTTTTTTTTCACAAGCATCATCGTTGTGTATTTGGTTTCATTTAATCTTGATTGATATCCATCGCGACTTGTGCCTATGTACTTCTTTCTTGGTACGCATTGCGGGGGGAGGCGCTGCGCCCTCCCCCCTGCACCCCCACCCGCTTTTTTTTTAATCGGTTCCCCTTGCTACCTACTATTCTTTTTGTTTTTCATAAGCATCACCGGTTATTTGGGTTCATTTTATCTTGATTGATATCCATCGAGATTTGTGCCTATGTACTTCTTTCTTGGTACGCATTGCGGGGGGAGGCGCTGCGCCCTCCCCCCTGCACCCCCCCACCCGCTTTTATTTCTTAATTGACTTCCCTTGCTACCTACTCTCTTTCATTTTTTTTCATAGGTATCGTTTCTTTGGGTTCATCTTCTCTTTCTTAATCTTTATTTATATCCATCGAGACTTGAGCCTGTGTGCTTCTTTCTTGGTACGCATTGCGGGGGGAGGCGCTGCGCCTCCCCCCTGCACCCCCCCACCCGCTTTTATTTCTTAATTGCTTCCCTTGCTACCTACTATCTTTCATTTTTTTCATAGGCATCGTTTCTTTGGGTTCATCTTCTCTTTCTTAATCTTTATTTATATCCATCGAGACTTCAGCCTGTGTGCTTCTTTCTTGGTACGCATTGCGGGGGGAGGCGCTGCGCCCTCCCCCCTGCACCCCCCCACCCGCTTTTATTTTTTAATCGACTTCCCTTGCTACCTACTCTATTTCTTTTTTTTTCGCAAGCATCGTTTATTTGGATTTATTTTTTATATAATTAATATTTTCATTTTTGCTGCTACTACTACTACTACTACCACTATTACTACTATTACTATTACTACTACTACTACTACTTCTACTACTACTACTACTACTTCTACTTCTACTACTTCTTCTACTTCTACTACTTCTACTACTTCTACTACTTCTACTACTTCTACTACTTCTACATTTTTTGTTTTCTTTTTGATCCTTATTTTTTTTTTTCGATCCCTTATTTTTTTTTGATCCTTATTTGTTTTTTTTGATCCGCTAGCCTCCCCAACATCAACCACAACCACAACCACAACCACAACAACAACAACAACCACAACAACCAACCACAACAACAACACCACCACCACCAACAACAACAACCACAACAACAACAAGAACAAGAACAAGAACAACAACAACAACAACAACAACCACCACCAACAACAACAACCACCACCACCACCACCAACAACAACAACAACCAACAACCAACAACCAACAACCAACAACCACAAACAACAACAACAACAACAACAACAACAACAGCAACAACAACAGCAACAACAACAACAACAGCAACAACAACAACAACAACCACAACAACAACCACAACCACAACCACAACCACAACCACAACCACAACCACAACCACAACCACAACCACAACCACAACCACAACCACAACAACCACAACCACAACCACAACCACAACCACAACCACAACCACAACCACCAACCACAACAACAACCACAACCAACCAACACCAACCAACACCAACCAACCAACCAACCAAGCAACCAAGCAACCAACCAACCAAGCAACCAAGCAACCAACCAACCAACCAACCAACCAACTAACTAACTAACCAACCAACCAACCACCCATCCATCCATCCAACCACAACAACAACAACAACAACAACAACAACAACACCATGCAAATCAGAGAGCTTAGCTGCAAAACGTTGCAAATACCAATCAAAACCATCAAACCCCAAAAAACGGGAAAAAAACCCCAAAAAAAACGGGAAAAAAATCCCAAAAAAAATTGCAGCCCTAATACAACCACAACAACCACAACCACAACCACAACAACCACAACCACCAACCACAACAACAACCACAACCAACCAACACCAACCAACACCAACCAACCAACCAACCAAGCAACCAACCAACCAAGCAACCAAGCAAGCAACCAACCAACCAACCAACTAACTAACTAACCAACCAACCAACCACCCATCCATCCATCCAACCACAACAACAACAACAACAACACCATGCAAATCAGAGAGCTTAGCTGCAAAACGTTGCAAATACCAATCAAAACCATCAAACCCCAAAAAACGGGGAAAAAATCCCAAAAAAAAACGGGAAAAAATTCCCAAAAAAAATTGCAGCCCTTTGTTTTGTATTCTCTTTAATGCCTCAATATGGCAACATTTAATTTTCAAATATTTAGGGTCTCCAATTTTATAAGAAACAATTTTACTCAGCACATCAACGGGTAAATCCTTCGCACAATCCATCCTACTAATATACTTAACTATTCTTTAAGTATATATTCAAAGATTAAAATAAGGCATGCTTAAAAAAAACTACTTAAAGATAAATTAACTAAATAAAATATACAATATTATATGATGAAAAAAAATATAGACTATCTATTGAGTAATGATTTAGCAGAAATACCAAAAAGAGGAAGAAAAGAATTGAAATCAATAGTAATAGACAGCAAGAAATTTAGATACAACAAAGACAAACCCATATCTAATGTTTTAACAAAGAAACTATTAACAGTAAAGAAAACTAATGAATACAGAAGTTATGCTTTAAACAAGGCAAAAGATGCGTTCAGTGAAGGAAAAGTCAAAAACTTACTAACCAAACACGCAATACAAAACAAATTTAAGGTCAGAGATATTCAGTCAGCATTTTGAAGATATGCGAATTCAATAGTGTTAGAAAATAACCACTTTGAAGGTGAAAGGGGATTAGAAATGATTGCTCACCAAAAACCAAGACTATTGGAGTTTTTAAGAAAGAATAGAAGCATGAAACTTAACATAAGAACAGAAGCACTCTTTGAAAAACCTGAATACGATGATGGAGGTAATGAAATTGGCAGTCAGGAACTTGTATATGCTCTACCATCAACACGCTTCAATATTAGAAAATGAGGATGAGCTGACACAAGCATTAGAAGACAGTGTTAAACAAATCTTATTACAAATACAAAATTTAGAAGCATCAACCTCTAATCTACGCTTTAAAACGATTTTATCAATAACCATTCATTATGACAAATATGACCCAACAAGAGCAGGGAGATACATAGAACTACCAGAATGGATTAAACTAAAAATAGGCATGTTAAGTTTCATGCTTCTATTCTTTCTTAAAAACTCCAATAGTCTTGGTTTTTGGTGAGCAATCATTTCTAATCCCCTTTCACCTTCAAAGTCTTTATTTTCTAACATATCTTCTAAATGCTGACTGAATATCTCTGACCTTAAAATTGTTTTGTATTGCGTGTTTGGTTAGTAAGTTTTTGACTTTTCCTTCACTGAACGCATCTTTTGCCTTGTTTAAAGCATAACTTCTGTATTCATTAGTTTTCTTTACTGTTAATAGTTTCTTTGTTAAAACATTAGATATGGGTTTGTCTTTGTTGTATCTAAATTTCTTGCTGTCTATTACTATTGATTTCAATTCTTTTCTTCCTCTTTTTGGTATTTCTGCTAAATCATTACTCAATAGATAGTCTATAACTTTTTTCATCATACAATATTATATATTTTATTTAGTTAATTTATCTTTAAGTCGTTTTTTTTTTAAAGCATGCCTTATTTTAATCTTTGAATATATACTTAAAGAATAGTTAAGTATATTAGTAGGATGGATTGTGCGAAGGATTTACCCGTTGATGTGCTGAGTAAAATTGTTTCTTATAAAATTGGAGACCCTAAATATTTGAAAATTAAATGTTGCCATATTGAGGCATTAAAGAGAATACAAAACAAATATAAGATTTCAAGACGTGGTCCTAAAATAGCAAAACATTTGAAATCAAGAAAAATATATATATATATATAATTGAATACTGTATTATGAGAGAGGGAGTGCCATTTAGTTTAAAAAGTTCAGAAGACATAATAACAGAAGAAAAAGAAGAATTATTATCTTCAATTTATGAAGAAGTAGAAGATGGTTTAAATTATAGAGTTAAACTTGATATTGAAGTCCAATTAGTGGCAAAACTCCCAGAAAAGGAATATGGAGAAAATGAATTTAGTTTTAGAGAGATTTATTTTATGAATGACTTTGATGAATATGTAGATGAAGATAATGTAGATGAAATTTTAGAGAAAGCAGTTGAAGAAATAAACACCGACATAGAAGACCAAGATAAAGATAGTATAATAGGAATACAGGCATTTCATTTTAAATTAGTAATTATTGAAGACATTTACTACTAACATATTTCTAATAATATTTATTTATTAGAATTATGGATGATTAAGGTAGGAATATTAAAGGTTAAGGGTTTATCTTTATTGTTGTCCTTTGTTTAGTTTTTTATGTTGTTTGGTTTGTTTTTTTGTTTGTTGTTTGTTGTGTCGTTTTGGGTATGGAATGGATGAGGTGATGATGTATTGACTGTTGTGATTTTTACAACATGGATGAGGTAATAGATGGTTAGTAGTTATGATTTATGAAAATGAATGAGATGATGATATAGGTGGTAGTGATGATTTTGTGAAACATGAATGAGGTGATTGATGGGTAGATAGTGATGATTTTGTTGTTGTTTGTTGTTTGTTTTTGTTTTTTGGTTTTGTTACTATGCTGTTATAGTTTTATGGTATTATTCTTTGAACTGTTGTGATTTTGAAAAATGGATGAGGTAACTATACTTTGACTGTTATGATTTCATTATAGTTTTGATATTGTTGAAAAAATGAAGCAATCAACAATATTGAAAATCTGTGCTTAGACTGTTATAATTGAAATTAAAAAGCTTCTATGAACTGTTGTTTTATACATTTTTTTGGCCCCCCCCCCCTAAAATGGTCATGGTTTCAATTCCCACGGGTGACGCGGTCACGGTCCGCCACAGTAGAGGCACACTCTCCATGAGGGAGATGTCCCTGTAGTCCAGCATAATTGGTTTGCTTCAGCCTCAATACAGTTGCTGCAAGGGGTCTTAAAAAGGGGTTTTAAATAAACCCCTTTTCGTGCATCATTTCACGCTGCACAAGACACCGTATCATGCAGTCATGCTCTGGAAAAAATCATCTTAGACTGCGCAAAAAAGTTTTTGGTGTATCATCTTAGGGGCGCAGCATTTTGACACCACTCCTCTCCCACTACACTACCTTTCGTCCGCCTCCGCCTGCTCTCAAGTTGGGAAGGCTGGCCTCGTCTGGGAATATCTTCGCAGGCCACGTGTTTGGTGCCTAGACGTTTCCAGATTTTTGTGTCTTGTAAACATTTTAAAATATTTTAAAACAGTAGAATTCAGTAGAAGTTTTGAGTTTCACTGAGGTGCTACTTGATGACTGGCGAGAGAACTTTGGATGCAGATCCAAACTTAGCCGTGATGCTGGATCCAAGATGTTGCTGTCCAGGGATTGCTTCAAACGAACTACGAACTGTCGCCACATTGAGGTTGATGCACCATCCAGCCACTTACCAAGCAAAAAGCAGGACACAATTCCCACACTTCCGTTTTTGCAAATTTGGAAGCCATTCAGAGCCATTTAAATTTAGAGTGGGATGTCCAGAATGATGTGGTGCTCTTGCTTGTGCATCATCCGGTCAAGTCAGAATTTGATTGATTCACTGAGGCCTGGTATGCATTCTTGGTGTTGAACATCGAAGTCCG